CGAATATTTAGGTTTTCTGGGTTTGGGGTTATTAGGGGTAATTCGTGTCATTTTCAATATATTGTAAGGACATTTTGGACTATGCACCGGCTCTGAAACATGTCTAAGCGCATTAAGAGCCGGCCCAAGGTCTATTATTTTCAGATATGAAAATAAGATTCAAACAAATTTTAAAGGTAAAGCCAAAGAAGGGGTGAGGTCTGAAAAGTAACATTTTCAGATTCAGACCTCTAAAAAGTGCAATCAAACGACCCCTAAGTATAAGACTTAATTAGATGAGATTAAATGATGTGAAAAGCAATAACTGAAATTACACTTTCAACCCTTAAAATTAGAGATGGATTAAATACACAAATATGGGCATTTTAGTAGCCCTGAAAGCTAGCATTAAAGCTATAATAAAGTGACTTTCATACCCTTCCTCAAACAAATAAATAAAGGGTAATTTTAGTCCAAAAAACTTCCACACTACATTCACACTTTTATATATAGTATAGATATGGATTTATTCTTTTAAAAATATTGACATAAATCTAATTAGTAGCATTTATTAGTGAAAAATAACTTTAAAATATAGGATTTAATACCTTAAATATAAGACTTAATTAGAGGAGATTAAGTGAGGTGGAAAGTAATAATTGAAGTTACATTTTCAACCCTTACAATTAAAGAATTAGAGATGGATTAAATACACAAATATGGGCATTTTAGTAGACATTAAAGTTAACATTAAAGCTTTAATAAAATGACTTTATACCCTTCCTCAAACAAATAAATAGTGTCCAGGTGCAAGTAGTCTGCATCTTCACAAATTTGTTTATACTATATAGACACTATTTATTTGTTTGAGGAAGAGTATAAAAGTCATTTTATTATAGCTTTAATGTTAGGTTTAATGACTACTAAAATGCCCGTATTTGTGTATTTAATCCATCTATAATTCTCTAATTTTAAGGATTGAAAATGTAACTTCAAATATTACTTTCCACCTCATTTAATCTCCTCTAATTAAGTCTTCTAGTTAAGGTAGTCTCACCTTCACAAATATGTCTATTTCACTAAGCCTCTCTCTAGATAGTGCCCAAATCGTTATACCTTTCGTGCAAGTCGGAACTTACCTGACAAAGAATTTTGCTACCTTAGGACCATTATAGTTACGATCGCCGTTCACTGGGGCTTTAGTCGCCATTTCCTCTCTTATCAGGTCACCAACTTCCTTGACCTTCCGGCACTGGGCAGGCGTCAGCCCCCATACATGGTCTTACGACTTTGCAGAGACCTATGTTTTTGGTGAAGTGTCAAGTGGGCCTGGTCACTACAACTCCCTTTGTGAGGAGGCACTCCTCCTGAAGTTACGAGACTATTTTGCCAATGTTAATTTTAACTCGACTGTTAACGGGATTGGATGTGGTAATCCAAAATAATTGTATTGGACATCGGATCGGGTATCGAACTGTCGGGCTCCGTTGACCGCCCCAGAATCCAGTACTTCTGCAATGCAAAACAGCAAAAGTACCATAGGGGCAGTTTCAGTATTTCAACTTTTTACCCGACAAGATAAATGATTAGGTCAACATCGTAGTTAGTGCTCGAATGGAAGTCCTTTTACAGAGAAGGTACAGTGGTTCCCTCAGTAATTATAAAACAATTTTAAGGGCATTTCAGGTATAAAACATCAATACTCCATCCTCCCTTCCTTCTAACCTTTTCTTACGGTTACGGAAGTTGAATTAACAGTTTAGTGGCATTATCGTAATTAGATTTAAGCTGTAGGGCAATTTTCGGAATTTCAAAATATCGAGAACGCACGCCACTCCACTTTGGCATGCTTGTGACTCCTTGTCCTGTAAAGCCCGACAATCCGCTTCATGTGCGCCAACGATTGATAAACAATACAAAAAATAAAATACGAATTTTTTATCGGATTATTTGGATTATTTCCGTTATGCTTGTCTTATCATACAACGGTAGGTTAGCCCAGTATTTAATCTACGCCGTCTATCAATTGGAATTGTCATAAGGTTCCAATCCAATAGTCAGAAAAACAGTTTCTTTTCTTTTTCTTTATTCTTTTAATTTGCTATATAAGAGATTTTCAGTCACTTCTGTGAAGGTTGAGTGAGGCTGGAAACAGATCTGAGTAGGGCCGGAGGAATGACGTCAAAGGCGATTTTCCGGTTCCGGCTGTTTATAATTCGGATTCTGGTCTTCGGTCTGGTGGTCTTTTCAGTCACAGCCGGGGTTCCAAGTGAGGGAAAGAAGCTCGACGAAGACTTCCTTCGAGAAGCTGATAGAGTTACGAGTTTGCCCGGACAACCGCCGGTTAATTTCCGGCATTACGCTGGGTATATCAAACTCCGTCCCGAAGACGACAAGGCCTTGTTCTACTGGTTCTTCGAAGCTGAAGGCGGCGTCGCCGAGAAGCCTCTCGTTCTCTGGCTCAACGGAGGTTCTCTCTCTCTCTCTCTCTCTCTCTCTCTCTCTCTCTCTCTAACACACTGATACTGTGATACACTCATACACACACAGAAAAGTCTTGTTTCTCGGAGAAGGAATTTTCCTAAATTTTGATAGTCACCGTTATCTTTAAAGGCAAGAAGCAGTTCATCGTTATTGTTAGCTAGTGGACAACTCTACCTTCTGTTTCCCAACAAGATGGTCCTCGACGTTTCAAAACTCAGCCCAGCAACGTCGTTTCTACCAAATGGAAAAGAAACCGAGCAACGTTTGAATTGATTTCAAAGTGATCTTACCAACCGTATCGGGAAAGATAAGATTATGGATTTTGCTTTTCATTCGATGGGGCCTGCTCGGAGCCGTTTAATCTGAGACGTCAATTTGATGCAGAATGGTGCCATTTAAACCGTCTAATCCTGATTATGTTGTGCGTAGATTTAAGCTGTGTTTGGGGGGGTTTCCTCTTCCCATAACGGGCTTCCCAATAAGTATTTTTTAAATAAGTCATGATTAGAAAAGTACTTGTGTTTTTTGGTGAGGTGCTTTTTTCTTTAAAAATAAAACGGCTTCTTCTAAAAGAAAAGGCTTAAAAACCTTGTTTTTTTCATTTTGAAAGTGATTTTGTGTCTTTTTGGTGGTGATTAAGCAATCACCAAATGACAATTGAGGGTGCTTTTGGCTTTTAAAAAGAATAAGCTGCAAAACGGTCATCAGAAGTCCCCCTCCCTCCAAACGCAGCCTAAAGGTCTGTTGTTTTGTAAATGATGTTTTAGTTATTACTGAGGGATGGGGGGGCAAAGCAACAGTTTTGAAAAAGCGATTTCCAGTTTTGTCTTTGATGGGGAAGTTTTATTCCATCTGTTTTGTCTTTTTGAGAATAAAGCCCAACAATATACCCAACCACGGTCTCCACCTCCAGGCGCCGGAGCCTATTCAGAAAGAAAAGATAGGTCCCATTGTATCGTCTTGTCCATCTGGATGAATCTGCTTAGCCTCAGATGGATGGCTTGGATCGGTGGGACCCATTCGTGGATGGTACCGCAGTACGTTTCTGGTGCAGTGGTGCTTACTTGCCTTTCTTTTTTGCTTATTTTTTACCTTGTGGAGCGGTTAAAGAAACTTCTGCCGTGCTAGCATCATTTTAACGGTATTACGGTTAAGAGACTTAAGGGCTAATCTTTTTGGAGCGTTTGGTTTCACGAATAAGATCTACCTTTTTTCTTTCCCAAACACAAATATAGTCGAAAATGTTTCAGCGAAAAATAAAGAAAAAATTGTTATGGAAAATGCAGGACCGGGTTGCTCATCAGTCGCATATGGTGCGGCCCAAGAACTGGGCCCATTTCTCATCAGAAATAATCGCTCACAGCTTATATACAACAGATTCTCTTGGAACAAAGGTAGGCACATGGGCCCTTTCTTATGCCTTTAAACTATTACCTTGCTATATTCATTTTTATTTATAAATGACATTAAATATTAGGTTTTTCCCAGATGGATTTTATTATTTATTGTTTATTTATTTATTTGCTTATTTAATGTTAAAATATCCTAGTTGCAAATCTTCTGTTCGTTGAGGCACCGGTCGGAGTCGGGTTTTCATACACAAACAGATCGGCGGATTTACAGACACTAGGAGATCAAATTACAGCTAATGATTCATATGCATTCTTACTCGGATGGTTTCGAAGGTTCCCGGCGTTTAAATCCCATGATTTCTACATCACCGGAGAGAGTTATGCCGGTAAATTGAACTATTTATTTGTTTAATCAGTTGTTATTTGGTTATTGTTTTTATTGCTTTGCAATTTTTGCACTAAAAGGTAACAAAACCAAAGATACTCGATTGGGTATTTGGGTTAAACTTTTTTAAGACGTGTTTGTTTTGTGTAAAAGTAAACTCGGAAAAGGAAAAAGAAAGTCCTATACACTTTTCAGTTCTTTTTTTTCTAAGAAGAGAAAAAAGAGAAAGAACTTGAAGGAATAAAAAATATATTTTTTCTCTTATTGATTTCTTTATTATTTATTAATTCAGGATGTGGTTGATTTCTCTCACTTATATTACTTTCAGGTCATTATGTTCCCCAGCTTGCTGAAGTCATTTACGAGAGAAACAAGGGAGCAAGTAAAGAAGCTTACATTAATTTCAAGGGTCTAATGGTAAGATCTCAGTTCTCACAATGTAGAAAGTTCCGTCAATACTTTTATGGACCCACCCACTTGCTTGTGTACTTGTGTTCCCTTAATTTTTTAATGGTAATTAAGATTCGTGCTGTCAAATGGTCGGCCCTGTTCCGGGTCCGGGTCCGGTAGAGCCAGCTGATCCATAAATAATTGTGGTCAACAGGTTCTGAATCAGAACGGGTCTGTAATCTGATATAGACGGTTATACTTCTGTAATTCTGACCATAAATCCACGTTGACACATTTTGACATCATAATTTCATAATATTATAAATATATCATAAGAAAAATTAGTAATTTTTGTGGTGGAAAATAAATAGGGAGAATGACGGTTCAGCCGGTCAGAATTTGTAGGCCGAAAATACTGTTGGGTAGGGCTGTTCATGAGAAGGCCCAACCCGACCAAACCGACCAACCCGGACCGACCCAACCTGAGTCGGCCGGGTTTTCATCAGCACCGGTCGGTTTCGAGTTGGGCAAATTTATAAACCGAAATATCGGGTTGGTTTCGGTTTTCTTGTGTAAAAACCGAAACCGAACCGAACTAGTCTTCCTACTTAACTAGTCTTCTACTAGTTCAATAGTTCCTAGTTTCCTACTTAACTAGTCTTCTACTAGAACTAGAACAACCCTATCTTCTAGTTCCTACTTAACTAAATTATATCTATCCTAGTTTCTATAGTCTTTTACACCAAATAGGCAACCCATTAGGCAATTACAATTAGAATTAGGTGTCCTCTTTTACCTATATTAGAATTTAGAAAGTTTCTTTAAATATAAATGTTTCAACCTTCTTTCTATAAAACAGTTTGACTTTCTATTTTATTATCTTATTGAATATTGACAACTTTTGTCTTTTGTCTTCTAACTTTTGTTTTATTGAATATTGAATATTGATAACTTTTGTCCTATAAAACAGTTTTGTCTTTTGTCTTATTGAATACAAAAGCTTTTTGAGTGGAATAGGGGTTAGTAAGGTTGACACTGGACCAAATGTGAGACAAGTTTCATAAATAAGGTTTGACTACAAGAGCAAAACCGAAACCGACCCAAATCGACCCAACCCAACTCAAACCGACCAGGTCGGTTTTGCCTATCAGTGGGTCGGTTTCGGTTTCCACCTCAGGTAACCCGATTAGGTCGGGTCAGTTGGGAAAACCCCAATAAACTGACCCAACCCGACCCGTGTACAACCCTACTATTGGGTATATATAGGGTCCATTTTACAAGTCTTTTTGAGAAGATCTTGTAGTTTTGATAGTCAAAATATGCATTGAACTTTTGACATAAGATTTGGGCAGCCCGAAGACCGTTTGGCAAGCGTGCATCTTTTTGTGTATTATTTTGGGTTTTTCCATGTGAAATTAAAATGCGAAAGATGTGAGAAGCGTCATTTGGAGTTTTCCGAAATCAGCCCAAAATAGGTTTTCTTGCATCTTTTCAGCACTCCATCTTTTAGCGGCTATATCTTCCGTGTGCCAAACGGGAATAGACCGATTTTCAGTCTTCCCGACTTGTAAACAGCCGAAAGACCACAAGGAAAGACGTGCCAAATGGGCCCATAAATAACGAAAAAGTATGGATATGCCCAATATAAATTTCTGATTTTCACTACAGAGATATAAACATTCAAAATATCAACAACCCACACTCTATACATCAATGCCCGCCTGTAAATTGACATCAATTCCGAACTAACACCTACCCCAATAGTACTTTGGGCCTACAAATTCTGACCCTAGCCTGAACCGTCATTCTCCCTATATAAAATCGGATAAGAGTCTTAATTACTCTAGAAGAACAAAAATCGATCCCAACCCCGTTATAGTTGGGCCACATAATATAGACCCAAAGTCTATGTAATTGGGTCTGTAGATAGTCGTAAATTAGATGGAAAACACGTGCAAAAAGCATGTGCAAAATGAGTTCACATTAGGGTTCCATAAATATTTCCCAATGACAAGTATCAAAGATATTTTCAATACAATATGCAGTGCAGTTTGGATCAGATAGGCACATTCAATGAATATTTCAAATTTTTTTTTTACACTTGTCTCTTAAAATACATTGAAAAAGATTAAAACTGAAAATATTTATCAAATGTTCAATTAACGTATTTAATTATGTTGTGCCTATTAGGTCCGGTTCCTGTGAAGTGTCTGTGGGGGCGTTAATGTGATCTCGTGCAAAATAGGGTTGTGGAATGGATTTTCATTTAGATTCGATCTATAAATAGGAAAGGACTATTGGTGAAAGTGAAACAAGGGTAGGTTTTATATATATGGATGACAGAAGATGAGAATTAGGAAGAATATTGGAGAGAGGTGTAGTGCCCACATTTTTGTACCACCCATCGCCACGCAGGAAACTGTACGTAGCGAGGGGAGCTTGGCAAGAGCCCGGACCTGCAGCCCATAGGCCTATGTCGGGCCAGGCATGACCTGTGGGACAGCATTTTTTACTAAAAAGATAAAATTGAAAAATAATGAAAAATTAAAGTGTTGGAGGCTATTACTAAGAAAAATAAAATAAAATAATTAAAAATAAAAAAAAAACTTAACAAGAATATAAGATAGACAACAAATTGAAAATACAATCTTATAATTTTATCCTATATGAATTTTAATGTATACAAATTGTTCATAATTTCATATATGAAATAATAAAATAAAATTAAAAAAAATTACAATGGAATTGGAACAAAATAGTATAATAAAATTAAAAATAACAATCTGCAATAAAAAAACACAAATGACTTACAAATAAAATTAAAAGCAAAATTTATAATAATATTAAAAACTTTGTACAATTATTGAATATCGGCTTTACTCTTCTCTTCAGGTTCCGCCTCCTTAATTTACATATTCTTGTGATCCATTGGACAAAGTGCCATGCCCTCCTTGAACTTATAGTCTACCCTCTGCATCTAACCAAATCTTTGAGGCATAATGTACATCTTTAGAGTTTTATCTATCTTATAGCTTCTCATCTCATTTAATACCTTGTTACATACACTAAAACAAGACTCCGATGCAACTATAGACATCGGAGAAGTTAATAGATCACGTGTCATGGTGGCAAGTATAAGATAATTTTACTTTGAAAATAAAAATTAAGTTCATTAAATGAATTTGATGAAGAAGAGAGGCTAGTAACTAATTGTTGCCTGATTTAACCTAATTATACTAAATTTTATTTGATGTATTACCGCTAGTAGTTTTAAGATGGTGGCATTGTACAAGTTTTTTTTTTTTTTTAATTTCCAAAATGTGATCAATATAAATTAAACATTTGAGATAATAAAGAACTAGTTTCTTTTTTATTTAATCTAACATTAGTTTCATATTTTCATGGTAAAAGTTAAGTAAAATAGCTACACTAGTCTGTTTAATGCTAGGGTCTAATATTATAGATATGCAATATAAAGGAGAAATATTTTTTCAATACTTTTTTTAAATTTATGTTCCATTATTTCAATAATATTTTGACATTTCTATCTTTTACAAAATAATCACTATAACATATAATTTATTAAGTAATGTATATGAAGTTGGGCAATAAACACTTGAAAAAAAAATGCTAGTAGCATCATAAAAATGTTGTAAAAAAATCTTTTATATAAGGCCATATTCCAATCATCATCACTTATAGCATCATTGGGAATTCTTTCATTGTGAAACATGTTAAACATAGAATAGATGGAATTCCACCTATGTTGAACATCTAAAATAAATCTTTTATATTTTTTTTCTATATTGAAGACATAAATTTCTAAAATCTTGTTTTCTTGAAATGAAAGATTTAATAAACAAAATATAGTTTCTAATTTATGTAATATGTGTTGAAATAATATTCAAACCATCTTGCATACATAAATTTAAGATATGACATGTACATTTAATATAAAACAATTTTCCTTTTAAAATAGGCTTTAAATGAGATTTTAAAATACTTACATCAACACCATTGGTGTTAGCATTATCAAAACTAATAGGAAAATTTTATTTTCAATACCACAAATACATATAGTATTTCAAATACTAGTAGCAGTTGCTATACAAGTATGTGGTCATTCAAGTCTTGTAAAAGTTATTGTTATTATTTTTTTTTTTGTGAAAAAGTCATGATTCATTAATGAAATCCCCAATAATACAAATATAACTATATTTGAAGTAAGTGAAACTTTAGAAGTAGAAGTTGAAAAAATAGAAATGAACTCTTGTTTATATGAAAGAAAAATTTTAAGAGCAACATTTCTTTATATACTTATCGAAACTTTTTAAAAGCATGATTTATAGATGATTGTAAAAAATTTTCAAGTCTAGGAACTTCAGAAAATTAAAGTGGTTGCTAAGCATGTAAAATATATTTAGCAAGTGTATATCTCATTTTTTTTCTTATGAATATTAAAAATAAATACGGTAGATGCGTGTGTAATTTGTATTTGATTTGAATCATTGTTTTCTTCACATATCTTCTTAAATGTCCAATGCCACCATTGGTTTGGTAACTAAAATCATTTCTACATTTTTTTTGTAGATGGCTCTTATTCCCTCTCCCTCAACCTCTTCACTGGTTTTTTCTCTTGTTTACCCTAGAATCACTAGGACTAGCATTAGTAGTAATAACACTAGCACCAACATTGGTGCTATCATATTGGGATTGGGCTTCATTGAACCCATGGCCATAAAGAAAGGGTGTTTGAAAAGAACTTGCTATTTTAATAAATGTAAAATATTAAAAACACTAGAATTTAGAAAAAGTTAATTACCCCTTAACTAGTAATCAAGTTGTCTATTTGGTATCCCAACTTGATTTCAATAGATGAAACTTATTACCCTTCCGAATTGCTAACTTGAGACATTTTAACAAGTCTCTTCTCTTATTGAAACTTGAAAGAAAGTTGAGAATTGGAAAATAAGTGAATATGAGAGTGTATTTGACTGAGTATGAGAGTGTATGAAAGAGTATGAGAGTATGAGAGGGATTGGTTGTTGTTATGATAAAAATGAGCAATGGTAAGAGTATTTATAAGAGTTGGAAAATTTTAAATTTACCAAAGTACCCTCCTAAGCTAACTATGTGTAGTTGTTGGGTGGGTATTGTGGTCTTTTAAAAAGTTTGAGAAGAGTTGACCATTTTAATAAATTTAAAATATTAAAACACTAAAGTTTAAAAAAAAATAATTACTCTTTACCTAATAATCCATTCTATTAGTCCAACATTTCAACTTGAGTTCAACAAATGAAACTTTTAAACCTCCCAAATTGCCAACTTGAGACACTTGAGTAAGCCCTCTTTGTTGAAAGAAAGGTGAGACTTGGAGAGTAAGACAGAATGTGAGGGTATTAGAGTGTATGAGACTACGATTATGAGAGTGTATGAAAGAGTATGACAATATGAGAGAGAGAGTGATTGTTGTTATGATGAAAATGAGCAAGGATAAGAGTATTTATAGAAGTTGGAAATTGAATTAACTAAAGTACCCTCCTAAACTAACTATTTATAGTTGTTGGGAGGATACTTTGGTTTTTGAAAAGATATTTACCACTTGACCAAAATGCCCTTAAACTAGTTGTTTGACTGTTCGGAGCATTTAAGTCATTTTTTGCTCTCCTAAGCCTAAATAAACAAATGTCCCTCCAAATTAGTTGTTTATAGTTATTGGAAGACACTTATGTCACTTTCATCCCCCAAAATAGTCATTGGAGAGGGGCCTAATGGTTATATTTTTGTGGGCCATGTGTGTTAGCACAACCAGGATGTGCTAGTCTAGCCCACAAACCCGTGCCATGAGCCCTATTGGGTTGTGGATCTAAACCCATAGTTCCAATTTAGCCCAGCCCATGATTGCAGGCCATGGTTGGACCAGCATGGTACTGTACCATGCAGCCTGTTTATAGCCTGTTTTACTCCTTGAGTGTGTAATTACCTGATTTGGTGAATTTGTAATCCCCCAGCTGGGAGGCAAACAATTGACCTTAGGTAATTCCATAGAGTTGGGGTGGGAGTAGAGTTCAATTCCAATTTCAATAATTTCTTAAAATATCAAAAACCATTTCATTTAGGTTGTGTTTGGATTGAAGGAAAAAGTGGGGGAAGGAAGGGAAAGTAGGGAAACCTTTACAAGCCTTGTATAGGTTTTCCTACGTTTCCCTTCATTTCCCTACTTTTTCCTTCAAACCAAACATAGCCTTATAGAGAACTGGGGCAACTATATGATGGAATTTACACCAAATCCACTCATGCAATCCCAAAGCAACATTTAGGGTCTATTGGCTTTTCATTAAGTTAAATTATCTAGATAAGTACATTTACCCATATTCTTTTATTCATAAGTAAATAAGAAAATGACCATTTTAGCCATAAAAGGCCATTATTAGAAGGGACAATTTTGTTCCATCCAAGTATTGCCAACTTTTCCTCATGTGAAAAAATTATTTATCCACCTCAGAAATGAGTATCACTTACCTGGATAGTTGATATGTAGGGAAAATAAATTTTCCATGAATCCCAAATAAATCTAAAAAAAAAACACATAAAGCTCTTACTCAATGAAAATCAAAAACCCATTAACCAAATTTCTCCCTTTCAAAATTCAATAAAAAACTGGCCCTTAGTATATTACATAGACTATCAAAAGTCAAAACTACCATAAGGCTTGCTAAACAAACTTTTATAAATCAAAAGTCAAAACTATCTTTACCTTCCTTTCCCTATCCTTTCTTTCAAACCAATCAGCCTTATAGATTGCAATAGCAGAAGCCAAACTTTAATTTGTTCCGTCAAATCCCACTTGAATTCATTGACAAGATATTTTTATTTAGATAAATTACAATATATTCTCTCTCTTAACTCGGATTTTAATTTGTAAAATGGAAATTCAGATAGGAAATGCCGTTATTAATGATGGAACGGATCAAGTTGGGTTCGTTGAGTATGCTTGGAGCCATGCGATCATCTCAGACGAGCTTTACCACACCATTCTCAAGGAATGTGATTTCAAGCACAACAAGCAAACAAGCAACTGCAGTAAGGCTGTCAAAGGCTTCTTACAAGCTTACTCAAATATCGACATCTACAGCATCTACACGCCGGTCTGCCTCCATTCTTTTGATCGGAGACCACGGAAGTTGGTCATCGGTCCTCGGCTCTTTGCCCAACATGTGAGTCAATTACTTATTTGAGATAAACCCAGTAACTAGGTTGCTCGTAAAAAAACTGAAAACAGATCCACATGGAGAAAATCAAATGGAGAAGTTTGGTTAATTGAATCGATCAGTTTAATATTTTTTAATATCCTTAGTATTAGTATCGTAGGATGGTGTTAATTTTAACAATAGGCTTTCACGTAGTTTGATATGGAAAAGATATGATATCGGAAAAACATCTGACCAATAAATTAGAATTTTAAATGTAATAATGAATCAGATGTCATTTATCAAAATTCATGGATGAGCTTTGATTGATCAAAACTCTTTTCATATCATATCTTTATAATTTGGTTTTTTATTAATCTAAAAAATCAGTGGTTAATGGAAACGCTGGTATATTATAATATAAATTATATACGTAAATGTATTATTTTTATAATTATCAATTTATAATAACTTATTTTATAATGTATAATGTATTTCATATTATTTATTATTTACAATATCACACATATAGTACTTATATTTATACATTTATTTGTAAAATATATATTATAAATATAAAGATTGAGAATTGATAAAAAACTGAAACTGGTCAACCAGTTAATTGGTTGATTTGATTCCATTTTAATTGGGGTTTTTTTCAAAAGACAACAGTATCTACCATCGGTTCAGTTTCAAAAAATACCACGGTTTGGTAGCACCCCTCACTGCGCTCAGTAACGGGATCACTTGGTGCTCTAGGGTGAATCTACATCTGTTCCCCACAGAGGGAACTCCACAAATGCCTTACATCATATCCCAACCTGTATTAAAAACATTTTTCACTGGTAATTTCCAGAGATTGAAATGTACATGTGAGACATTTGTGGGGTGCAGATGTAATCTTCTCCAGGGCGCTTCACATGCACATCTCACAGTGCATTGAAAACATTTCGAAATCTCCCGTATTTATTATTGGCAGATATCTTCCCAATACACGGGTGGGAGCCGGGAGGAGCTGTGGGGCGCCCTGTGAGATGCACCGGTCGGATCTCCTCAGTAACCCAGGCTAAAACACAGATGAACATACGCGGTCACGCGGAGAAAGTAGACAGTGTTTAATCACATTTACTACAAGCGTAGTTCTGTAAAAAGTTGCTGAAAGGCCGACCGTCGGCGTATTAATTTCAGGACCTCTGGCGTAAGCTGCCGTCTGGTTATGATCCTTGTACAGAAGACTATACGGAACAGTATTTCAACAGAGAAGATGTACAGAGGGCCTTACACGCCAACATTACTAGACTGACCTACCCATACACCACATGCAGGTATGTATGTAGTTCCACATCTTATATATCTAATAAATGCAGGAGAAAAGATTTTGTCTGTGGGTCAGTAGTAGATCTTCAATAAATGTTCCATCCATAAAAAGAGCGGTGACGTGAGTGATGAGATGACAACTACTCTCTCATGTGAGAATGTTAAGCTGGTCCTAAGGGTAAAACACTTATGGCTATAGTCATTAACATTTTTACCTTCGGATTGGAAGTTGTAAATGGTGGAATTCTGAGTGGGCACTCCAAATATCAACCCACTGCATTCTGCAGACACGGTAAGACTCTGGTGTATGTAACAGTACTATCTGTAGAAATCTCGGAGTCATACCATGGCTGTAGTGCAGTGAAGTTGGCTGATCAATGATAAAAATACATAGAGATCGGCCCCATGTGATAGAGTTTGGGGCCAGGCTAGTACCTACAATAATGGAAAAAAAAATTAGGGTTTGGGGCCACAAAAGTCAAAACCTCTGGACTGCTTTGGAGCATAGCTATTGTATGATAAAGTAAGGTTTATTGCCAAATTTTTTTTGTTTTGTTGTGCAGATCAGATACAGCCGGGCCCAAAATGAACTGGAAACACGAAAATAACTTCTTTCTTTTCTCTCTCTCTTATTTATTGCTTGCATTCAAGATTAATTTTAAGTTGGCTCAAAATAATAAAAGTGATTGTCACTTGGATTTGGATCTTCTGCCAATACATTACGTTTCAACCCTCTACCAATTTGATATAACATTGCATATCTCACTATGAGACTGAGGTATATCATAAAAATGGGACTTATCATATATAAACGTGCAGTGTGAGATTATGTTGATAGAGGGTTGGAATGTATTTTGTTGACAGGTGATCTGGACTGTCAAAATTGGACCTACATGTTAGATAGGTTTTATCATCATACATGTGGCAAGTTATGGGCCAGCCCGGTAAAGGATATAATTAGAGAATAATCTTAGTAGAAGACAAAGATACAATGTCATAGAATCATTATTAATGGGCTATTTAGGGCTGGCCCATAAATAACAAGACCCAAACCGACCAAACCGATCAATCCGGTCTGATCCAATTCGAGTTGGTTGGTTTTTCTTCAGCATCAGTCGGTTTCGGGTTACAAAAAAACATAAATCGATGGTTCGGTTCGGTTTTGGTTTTCATGTGTGAAAATCAAAACCGAACCGACCCAAACCGACTTAGATATATATTATATATAATATATTTCAGATATTATATATATATATATATATCTATTTCAGCTTTATTTCAGAAATATACATATTATATATAAAATTTCTGATATATAAAATATCAGTTTTAATCCATCAAATCATTTTTAATTTTTAGGTATCCAGCCTTTGTTTTCTTAGACTTGAATCCTTTACCGTTCATACCGAAAGAATCATTCACAAAACCGACCCAAACCGATCCAACCCGATTCAAACCGATCAGGTCGATTTTACTTAGTACTGGGTCGGTTTCGATTTCATTTCTAGGTAAACCGACCAGGTCGGGTCGGTTGGAAAAACACCAATAAACCGACCCAACCCGACCCGTAAACAGCCCTAGTTCTGTTATTATGTTGGGTCACTTAAAAGAAGTAGAGGCTAGAGAAAGGACGATAACAAGCTGGAACTTGGGGGCATTTAACTCGGAAATTGTCAACCCCAAAGTTTGGTAATTGCAATCACCTCTTTTAAACTTTTTGACACAATTATAACTTGTAAATAGACCCCTTATGTTAGAATCCTCTAATAAGTCAAAAAATGTCTAAAATATCTAAGCAGTTACTTTTGACCAAAATATTTATTTTCCAATTTTCTGCTCATCAATCACTACCCTGAGTCCATCCAATTTCTTTTTCAAAATTGGTTTATTTTCCAATTTTGCCCTTCATATCAATCACTCAAAGGTAAAACTGCCACTTTAAACTCTCTTTTTTTTATTATTCATAAGATTTGTATTATTTTTATGTAAAAATCAGCCTCTCTCAATAGTAGTTACATGGGTATTTCGGATATTTTCGCACCTCTTTCTAGAGGATTTTACTAAGAGGCCTATTTGCAATTGTATTAAAAAGTTTAGAAAAGATAATTACAATTATCAAATTTTAAAGGACGTTTTAACAACGATCAAAAACTTTAGGGAAAGTTTCAGAAATTTACCCTAAAAGCTATAGTTAAGCTCCTAGCTATAACCGTTTGTTGCTTCATGACATGATTTGATATCATATTCATACCACATGATTTATTATGTGGGACACAATGAAAGGTGGAAGGTTTCCTATTTCATGTACAGGAAAATATATGATATCGGAAAGATATCGTATTGGAATAGATCTAACCAATCAAAACACCCTTATGAATTTGATGAATACCACCTGATTGATCACCTCTTTTATATGATAATTGAACCCTTCGTACACAAATATTTGTGGCACTCAATGTTTGTAATTGGAGAGCTTTTACCTTTTTCTTTAGAAATATTTCAGGTTAGGTTGGAGATTTGAAGCCTGAATTGGAACATCTGTAGTAAATTCCATTTACCAGGGACAAAATAAATATTCAATATTGCTTGTTTCTGATTTAGAAATGTTCAAAATTACTACACATTGGCCAAAACATCGGGAAATTCTAGTTGGCTATATTTTTTTAAGAAGAGTAGAAAGTTTTACTTTTCTTATTTATTATTATATAATAGATTGAGCTAGTGTAAATGGACAATTTGATAAATCCATGGAGCTTCTCTAAATAACATGTAAAATGGAGCTAGTCTTGAATTGGATTCGTTAATAGTTGCCACTTGCCAATAAAATATGACAAATTAGGGTCCGTTTGACAAATTAGTCTATTTAGTTCAGATAAAAATGGAAATAGAAATTTTAGCAGGAATGAAATGTCATTCTCAAGAAAGGGGTAGGAATAGCTATTCCTACAAATGAGAGAATGTCATTCCAACAAGAATGGATAAGGTTTCAATTTCATCCAAATCAAACAATTAAAATTGAAATAACGTATTCTAATTCTAATTCGAGACCCCTATTTCTACGAACCAAACAGGGTCTTAAATTAAAAAAGATGAACTGTTATTCAGGGAAGGCTTTATTTATTTATTTACTTGTTGTGCAGTGATGTTATTAGGAAATGGAATGACTCGCCGGACACTATACTTCCTATCCTCCGGAAGCTCTTAAATGCGGGTTTGCGTGTCTGGATCTACAGGTATGTACATGAACCCCTCATCCCCCATCTATGAGTAATAAAGTCATTGTTGGTAAGCTCTCTAGACCTTACATATTAATTGCAGGTAGTGGTAGTAAGTCTTGACGGTAGAAATGAGTATGGTAGAACACGCTATAAAATATCATGTGAATATGATTTTTCTTCTGTCCTTTCTTTTGATTTTTCGTCAAGCTATGGTCTGGCTATTAGGTGAGATTTGTGAGACATATTCAGTGGAAGGTCCCTATATTCTGCAGATAAGAACTGTCTGACATTTATAGAGGACTTATTGGAATAGGTTAGGTTTGGATAAACATTGAGGCTGTGTTTGGTTTAAAAGAAAATAATAAAATAGAAAGTTGAGGGGTAGTTGTGTTTTTGTCTTATTTTCTATTAAAATAAACATAGCATAAGATGATCTCCATTGTCCATGTTACTTTTTTCATAATTTATCCATTAATTAAAATGTTAATCGGATGACTAATAAAAGTTAGTTGACGAGCTGAAAGGTTGGTTCTCTAAACCCTATTCCCCCTTTCGGGAGAAAAAGGTCAAAATTCCATTATATTTCAAGACTAAGTCTTGAGGTGTAGAGATGTTACCATATTTTGCAATAACATGAGAAGCTCAGTTATCTATATATATGCAAGGTTCAAAATATCGATACGTTAGGGGCATAGTGGGCGAATCAATACACATTTTTATTATTATATATATTTTTTTTGCAACCGGTTCAGGGGGCAGTTTAGGTCTTCTCTACCCTCTGAATTGGTCAGACCTTCGATACACCCATTGTAGGAGCGTATTGGAAGGGTCTCAGAGTGATACGTATCGGCCAATACAGGTCGATATTTTGAACCTTGCCTATATGTAGGGCTGCAATTTTGGGCTGGGTTAGTCCAAACCCAACCTTAATCCAATTTAAAAAAGTTGGGTTGGGTTGTCAATTTGATGTTCGGGTTAAGGTTAGGGTTGAAATTTATGAACCTGACTTATTTCGGGTTGGGTTAGGGTTGATCCATTGGGCAATCGGACGTAACTTGAACATGACTCTATAGTATATATATAATCACTTCACTTAATCCTAATTGGAAATACTAAAACCTTGATAACATACTTTATATTTTCTGAATAATTTATTCTTGATCTCCTCTCAGTTGTTTGCCACGCATAGCTTGCTCCCCATAAAAGAACTATTATAAGTCATCATAGTAAACTAGTCATTCCAAACACTTGTTTTTTCTGAATTTTTTACTTCAAGAACTAATAAAAAACACCAACAAACAAATACTAATAAAACATAGGATTAATATATGTAATGAAAGTTGAATTAAGAAGGTTGGATTGGCCCCAACCAAAGCCCGGCCCAATCCAAATTTGACCTTGTGTTGGGTTGGGTTGGGTTAGGGTTGAAGGAATTTGGTTAGGGTTAGTGTTAGGGTTGGGTAGGATTAAGATTAGGATTGGGGATTTAGAACTTAAGATTGGGATAGGGTTGGGCTAGGATTGGCCTCAACCCGACCTAACGTAGCCTAACTTGCAGCCCTACCTATATGAGCTAGCTAGGAGTGAAGGAGAAGAATAGTTCTCCAAATTACACAAAAGATTCCTCCAATAAGTGATTAATATTGTCTATACACCAAAGGATCGATAAAGAGTGGTCCAACTGTAGAAAGAATTTTTGTGCAATCTGCAGTTTCTTTTATTGACATTTCTCTACAGATTTTCATGATATATATATATATATAAATCATTAATTGGACAAATTAAGTTCAATATATACATATTAATGAGGGAGTTTTAATTGCGAAAGTGAAGTTGCAATAGATAGGTTAAACCACCCACTCGCCTTTTTTTTCTTGTCAACTCCCATGCTTCTGGATCCTTTCAGCCCTAGGTAGTTTATATGTAGTGCAGTTTCTTTCTTGGGAAGTTTCTATTAGGAATGGCAACGGGGCGGGGCACCCCTTCCCCGTTCCCGCCCCATAGTCAAGATACTTTGCCTCATTCCTGTCCAATCTCTGGTGGTGGGGCGGGTTCAAGGTGGGGCATCCACTCTATGTTAGGGATGGGGAATCCCCGAATTTTTTCAGCTCCAAGGCAACTACTTAAAAATTATTTATTTTGTGGACAATTTATACATAGAATATAGGAATTTGGAGGTATTTTAGGAATTGAATTATAATACTTTGGGGGGGGGGGGGTACTTAAAAAATTGAATTATGAGATTCTAGGATTTTAAAAGTTTAGGAAAAACTTAGAGATATTTTAAATATCAATATTAAACCTAGAGATATTTTACTAATTGTAAATCGGGTTCAAGACAGGTTTGGATAATTATATACAAAACCCGACTTCGGTTTGGGGAAAAAAATATTTTCCCCGTCCCTGCCTGTCCCTATTTAGGATCGGGGGAAACCCGCTCTGTTGGGGGTGGGGTGGGGCCCCGATTTTACAGGGTAAATTGCCATCCCTAGTTTTTATTGAGCAAATTCCATGAGTCACTCATGAAATTTGCTCAGTAAAATATATATATATATATTTTTTGGTGGGAGAAAGCATTTTGCACCAGACACCATGAAAGGCATGTAGTCAATACCTAAACTTGTGAACCTTGATAAACTCAACGCTGGGGCTGATTCTAGTTTGACGGAAAATAAGAAAAAAAAAGAGAGTTGAGGGAAAGTTCTTAAGGCTGTGTTAGGTTGCAATGCAAACAAATTTGTACTGAAGCAAACTATGACAGTGTAAATGATTTGAGTGTAAATTCTGACTTATTTTTGTTTTAAATTTTAGCTTATTTTTTTTTATTGCAAATACAAATGAAGTAAATAAAGACATGAATCAGAATAAAGTAAAACCAAAATAAAGTTAAACTAGAATTTGCATTTTTTTTATTTGCACTCCCCTGCATTTGTATTAGTGCAAATAAAATTGCACTGCAACCAAATGTAGCCTAAAGAATTTTATCCTTAGAAGAATATCTTATATATATTTCATATATACCTAAAAAATTCTATATTATATATTAAAGGAAAGAGACACTTATATACATTGCACTCGGATAAACCTAGAAAACTTAAAGCTTTCAAATCCCAAAAGCAAAGCCCCAATTTTTGGTTGTGTGCTTTGAGGCTTAATAGTGCTTTAGCTTTAAATTGTGTTTGTGTGTGTTTTTAACGCAAATACTTGCCAAACTGTGAAAACACTTTTTGGTTCATTTTTCTTTTCCCACAGCCCAAGGCTATCAAAAGCAAAGGCTTATCTAAATGAATTCGTAAGATGACCAGAAAAGTTTCCTGTGAACTGATCACATGCAACCCCTAATAAAATGTAAACCACTTGTGCTTTAAATTAAACACCAATTGATATGATGTCTTGTCTTTTCTTTCAAACACTGGCATGTTCGTATTTTATTGGGATCTCTAAATTATGGTCAGAAGAAAATACCATCTCTTAGATGATACTCTCATTTTCTTATTCTTGTTTCTCTTTTCTATTGTTTTTTTATATATTGATCGTATGACCCTTGCTTGTATGACACATTCAATGGGTATTATTTTAATTTTTTAAAGCTTTTTATGATGACTGGTAACATGCGTTGTAAGTGATAGTTTCAAATGACAATAATAACAAAATAGAGATAATAGTAATAATAATTTTAATGTTTTCATCAAAACCCATGTAATAATCGAAGAATAGTGTGTATTGTAAAGATATGCTTAATTTTTTGTAAATTTTATAATGTTTTTTATATTTTATTTTTATTATTTAATTTATAACATCAAAAGTTCACTTGTTTGAGCATAAGGGAAATGCTGTTTTGTTCGATTTTTAGAACATTGGTTTTTTATTAGTGCTTTTTATCTCATGGTCAAATCAACTGGTCAACTAGTTGACCCCATTAAACTAGTATTTTGGATCCATTTATCATCTAATTTTTTACTAGCAAAAAACCATTAGCTTGACCAACAATATGGTGACTTAACCATTTGAACCATTGAATGGTTTAACCTAATTAGTGTTAGACACTAATTCTCTTTTTCCCTGATTTTTGTATTTTGTTTCTATCATTGGTAAAAAATAATTTTTATTTATTACATTTATACTCTTAATATGACAAATACATAAAAAGGATTTATATTTTTAAAATTTTTCAATTTACTGTATTTCTATCTAATTTTTTAATTTTTATTATTTAATTATTACATCATGGTAAATACCCATTTTACCTAAATAATTGAACCGTTGTCCTGTTGCTTGTATGGATAAAAAGTTGGTTTACTCTTGGATCAATTTTACTGTATTCCATTTTCATTATTATTAAAAACAAATCTTATTTTCACATTTACTTTTGTTTAATGTGATGAATATATAATATTGAAGATGTGCTCAAGTGCTCAAGTACTTTTGGATCAATTTTATTGTATTCTTTTTGTATTTCTATCTTTTTAAATATTTATTATTTAATTATGATATCATGGGCTGGCCTATTTGGTCCAAAAGGTTGGATCATTAACTCACCATCTGGATAGGAAAATGGTTTCATTTTTAAATCAATTTTAAAATTTGTATTTCATTTACATCATTAATAAAAATAATTATTATTTATCACACTTATTTGCTTAATATGACTAATATATGTTAGATATATATATATATATATATATATATATATAATTTTTTTTTATTTTTTTTTATTTTTTTTGTATTTTATTTTAAAATTTTTAGTATTTAATTATGTTGTATTCTATTCAGATATGCACTGAAAACAAACAGAACCAAAAGAAAACTTTAATGGATCCATTTAAAATATTATTAAACTTATGCATAGTGAAATAAAATCCTTTCACATGGTATATATCCATAATCCGTTTGGTTATAGATCTTGGTTATCTTTACATTTTTTATTTTTTTGTAAAAGGTTTTGTTAACAACCATGAAAATAGCCTAGGAGGGGAGGACATGTAACCTAACCCCTTGAAAAGAAACTATACAAACAGAATGTGTCTCTAAGCTACATCGGGCTTCACAAAAAATTTTGGGTCAATTTGGTTTGCAGTCAGAATTGGAATCGGAATGGTCTATTTCCATAATCTATTTGCTTCAAATGGGAACCAGCATCGGAATTAAAATCAGTTAGAATAGAATCTCATTCCTAAGGGAGGGGGAGAGAATGACCATTCTCTCAAATAGGCGAATGCCATTCCACCAAAAATGGGCATGAGATTTTAATTCCACCCAACAAACAGTTAGAATCAAAATAAACCATTCTGATTCTAATTCTAGACTCTAGTCCCGGAAATGGACCGTTAGTTCTTACATGCATGAAACTTGTCAAGATTCAAAAAATTAATAGCTTTTGTAGTAAATTCTACTGGATGTTGGTTTTGAACTGAATATATTTCTAACTGTTATTGTTTTTTCTGCTTATTTATTAAAAAATGAAAAAAAAACCAACAGCGGAGACATGGATGGGCGGGTACCGGTGACATCTACAAGATACAGCATAAACGAGATGGGGTTAAAGATAAGAGAAGGATGGAGGGCGTGGTTCCACCGGCATCAAGTAGCAGGGTGGGTGGTAACTTATGAGGGCGGCCTGACGTTTGCAACGGTGAGGGGAGCTGGTCACCAGGTCCCTGTCTTGGCCCCTCAACAGTCCCTTTCTCTCTTCTCACATTTTCTCTCTGCAAAATCCTTGCCACCCTCTCGTTCCTCTTCCTAAGTCTTTTTGATCTTCAGACCATCCATTACATCTCTCTCTCAATTGTCATAAACATAAACAATAATACTGAATCATTATTAATTTTGTTTCCTTCCATGCATTCTCAAATTGAAAAAAATAAAAAATAAAAAAGATTGATTCGAAGTTATTCCTTAGAAAAAATTATTTCAGCAATGATACAATATTTTCTTCTTGTACTAGAAGCAAGTGCATTTTGGACCACAGATATGGAATATTGTGTGTGAGATCATCCAAACTCACAATATATTGCATGTGTGGTCGTTGATGCACTTGTAAATGGTGTAAATAATTATTGTGTTATATTCTTTTAACGTTTCTGTCATCAAAACACTATTTAGTATGTAAGGGATATTTTCCAGTAGTGTTATTACAAAAACAAAACAAAACCAGTTGATTTAAAACAAATTAGTTGTTAAAAGTTAAAAGAAAAGAATGGAAACATGTTTTTGTTATATGCTTTATATGTCTGTTTTTTTTTGAAAGTCAAAGACATTCAACAAAGAAACTTATACATATATAAAGAATTGGCAAAAATGCCAAGCAAAACACTGAAATACAATTTCTTAGAAAGAACAAAATAAATAATAGTAGTACTGAACAAGCGAGAAGATAAAGCAGTTTTGCAACCAACAAATAGTGAGGTAAGAATCACCAACAGAATGACCAATTCAACACATCTCCATTCACCAAAATGACAAATGACAGAATAGTTTAGAAGGAAAACATAAAGTGGCAGTAAAAGGACAAGGGAAAGGCCACAAAAGACGACAAAGCCCATAGATCTCTAGCAACCGCCTTCAATAACTACACCTGTAAAAGAAACTATAGTCAAAATCAACCATGGCCGGCAAGATCAAAAGCAATGACCATTGCCATCACCCAACATAGAAGGAGAGACAACCCCTTGTGCCAAAATCCAGGTGCCTTGTCAAAACCTAGAGAACATTTATCATCTTGCTACGAAGGCTAGCAAGGTTGTCCAATAGATATGACCTAGGTGGTTCAACAAAGGAAACAGTCCACCCTAGTAACCCCACATAGGGCACTATATATAGTTAGAGGTGGGTTTGATTTGAGCCGAGCCAAAATACCCAAAATACCGAGTTATTCAAGTCCAATTCACCAATAAACCATTAAGCTTGAACTTGATTTGATCTAGAGACTTGAGCTTGAATTTGGCTCGAGTTAACATCTCGGCATCACATAGGCAATGATTTGCATTTGCTTATTAATGAGAATAAAAAGTATCATATTTTTATCCCCAAATATTCATTTTTTTACATTAAATTATCACTTAATTGGACTCATTAATCTTGTATTTCGATTCAGGAAAAGCAAGAAGGCAAATGGAGGAAAACAAGGCTAATCGGATGATTTTGCACAGTTTCGGCACCATTTAGTAATCGGGGCATAACTCTCAACTCCGGACTCCGATTGGGATAATTCAAGATGCACTGGAAAGACAAGGGAGAAATCCACAACTCTCGTGTTTTGGGTTTTGACATATTCGGTCTGCATTGAAGTCAAAATTGGGCCCAAAGTCGGAACAAATTCATAGTAAAGCCCAGCTCATAGCTGAAGCCCAATTCGCAGAAAAGCCTTGTAGCAGCCCATGTTAATAAAGAAGCCCAACTCGAATTCAAGAATGAAGAGTCTTACCAGATTTAAATTCCAATTGTAATCCTAGGAAGATAAGAGATTAAGATTACTAAATAGGATAGGATAGGATTAGATATAATTAGGACTTTCTAATTTTAAAGTTAATCTCCTAAAGAGAGTTGGAGAGAGACCCTCTCCCTAAAGCTATATAAAGGGCGGGGGCAGACCAGCTTGAGGCATCACTCAATCTCTGAAGCACTCGATCAATCAAGAAAGATCAGTTCGGCCTTCTGAGAAGCAGAGCATGGAGGATTCGAAAATCATGAGCAGCTAAGCTTTTCTTTTCTGGTTCAAGGGGGGGATGTTCGATTGTGTCATCGTGAGGTTCAGTATTTAATTCAAGTTCTTTCTTTTTAATTCAAGTATTCGTTGATTCTTGTACTTATTCTCTATGGATGTTAATGTTAATTAGTCTGATAAATTAATTAATATTGATTTTCCTACTGCTATCCATGGTTCAGTGATCCGCAATTGTCACGAATAGTGGTACAAGTAGCAAATAGGTTAATATCTTTCTGGGTCAATTGTTCGTGACAGCCTTTGACCAATGTATTGACATGTTTTAACCTAAGGGGAATCRATGGRAMAAGATTCGATAATTGCAGCTATCTCAATTATTGTTATTTTGGTTTAACTATTTTCACAAAGTTTAATGCTATCACTAGTTAATATGGAGCGCTATCGTACCCAGTCGATTAGTGATAAATGTTGATCGAATGCTGGGTTTGRTCAGCTGATTTAGGAAAACACAAGGTTTATTATGGCTATCCAAATAAATCTAAGGTTAAATGCTTGAATTGCAAGACTACCGAAGTCTACCTAGGGTCGATGACCAATTGATTAAATCCGAATCCTTGAATCAGAATTTGGTAAGACTGATTTCTCTTAAGTTGATATTGCTCTCTTGATTCTTTTTGAATTTTAATTATTTAATTTTCCCACTCTTTATATTGCACACTTGTCTGAGAAATTATTTCCCTAGCTCCCTGTGGGATTTGACCTAGTACCACTACTACTACAAATTTATTGTGGGACAAACATTAATTTTGAGGGCTTCGACAACCCGTCAAAATTTTGGCGCCGTTGCTGGGGATCTACTTTAATTTCTTAGCTTGTTACCTCCTATTTGTGTTAACCTTCTTTGTTTTATGACTCGTGCTTCTCAAAGAGGTGAACTAGAGTACAACCCCAAAATTGAGAAGATTACCCGTCGTTTAAGGAAGGAGGCAAAGCAAAAGAATGATCGTTCACCTCCAAGGGTGAATTCTGAATTCGACTTGCCAACTTGTGATCCACCTATTTTCGAAAAGGAAGAAATGGTGACTGATACAGAGAGAACGCTAAGGGAGTTGGCTGCACCAATCATGAACCAACAGCCCCTGTGCATAATATATCCCACTCTCGATGTAGCCTTTGAACTAAAATCTGGATTGATTCAACTGCTTCCTATTTTTCATGGCTTTCTAGGTGAGGACCCTCATAAGCATCTCAAAGAATTCCATGTTGTCTGTTCAAGCATTAAACCACAGGGTATGACTGAGGATCAGGTAAAACTTATAGCTTTTCCTTTACTTTACGAGATAAAGCAAAGGATTGGTTATACATTCTTCCTCCCGGTTCGATACGTACATGGGATGAGATGAATAGAATGTTTTTAGATAAATATTTTTCTACATCCCGAGCTGCAAATATTAGGAAGGAAATATGTGGAGTTCGGCAGTTTGGTGGTGAGACACTATATGAATATTGGGAAAGATTTAAATAGCTTTGTGTTAGCTGTCCCCACCACCAAATACCCGAACAACTCTTGATCCAATACTTCTATGAAGGACTCCAACCTATGGATAGAAGTATGGTAGACGCAGCTAGTGGAGGAGCCTTGGTCAATAAAACACCCAAAGCGGTTAGGGAATTGATTTCCAAAATGGCCAGAAATTCATAGCAATTTGGAGCAATAACAGATGGTACTATCAGGCATGTTAATGAGGTAAGTCATTCTAATTTAGAAAATCGAATTTCTGATCTAACTGCCTTGGTTCGACAACTGGCTGCAAGGCAATTGCAAACGGCAAGGGTATGTGGTGTCTGTTTGATTCCTAGGCATCCTACGGATATGTGTTCATCATTGTAGGATGGTTCGATGCAACAAGTTAGTGTCGTAGGAGGATTTCCGGGCCAACCTCAACGCAAGTATGATCCCTATTCCAATTACTACAATCCTAAGTGGAGGGATCATCCCAATCTGAGCTACGGAAATCAAGGAAGACCATAGAGATATCAGTCCCAAGCTTTCAACAGACAGCCCCCAATTTCAGCACCTATCTCAGCGCAAAGTCAACCCTCAAGTTCAGGTATGTCATTAGATGAAATCGTTAAGGCTCTTGCTACTAACACTCAACAATTTCAACAGGAAACAAGGGCCAGCATCCAGAACTTAGGGAACCA